ACGAAAACGGTATTCACGCACGATACATACACGGAAATCGACTTAAACAATATAACGAACAAAAAGAACAATTCGAGGACGAATCAACAGAACAAGAGAGGGAAGGAATAACCAAAAACACACCATTCGTACTAATTCCCGCCTTGAAAAAAGATTTAACACAATATAAAAAGAAATAATAAACAAAAATAACAAAAATAAAAATAATAATGAAACGACAAAGAAGTTTAATAAACAATAAAGGCCAACAATAATAATAAAAAAAAAAAGAGAAGACCGAAATCACATGATACACGTGATTTTCAGATCTGACGTCACCAAATTGAATTAAAAACTAACGGATAAATATAAAAATAATAAGAACAAACGAACTAACGAAAATAACTTAACAATAAACAACTTTCGAAATGTCGACCGACGAACATGAAAATGACACAATGATGGAAATGTGGCAATTAGCCACCCAAATCTCCAATAAACTCAAAGAAAACTGCCCAGACCTGATAATAACCATCAGAAACACAGGTCCACAATTCAACGTAACACTCTTAGGAGAATATACGGCAACGGAACAACAAATAAATGCTGTCTTCGAAGAAAATGATATATTAGGCGAAATTACAACATTAGAACACCCTCTAAACGACGAAACGACAACTGACTCTAAAGTATTACGAGCTAATCAACAACTTCAGAGCTTTTGGAAATGGCGAAACACGAAAATACGAATAAAGAGGAAGGAAACGTTACCTAAACGGAGGATTAAAGAAATTTGGCAACAATTGGGAGAATGCTTTTCTTCCAGAGGCCATTCTGAAGAAAAACTGTACCTCTTGCTATACACTGGAAAAGAACTAGCTAAACTTGATGATGATGACTCTACAAGTCATCTTCAATTAGTAAAAGGTGAAAAAGAAAGATCTCTCTCTGTCTCCATAAGGAAGCGACTCCTATTGGCAAAATGGCTTGCTAAAATCTTTTCCAACGTTCCAGAAAAATTGCTGTCAGTCAAAGCAACTTTCTATCAGGAATTATCCAAGTTAGAGAACACATAATTAAATCAGCTTAAACAATTGGTTCAAAACTGATTATGATTGAGGTGGTACTCAATTCTAAAAAGAAGGAGAAAATGTTACGGTCCAGAATTATCTTAATTCCTTAATTTTAGTTATGTGATAGAGCAGAAATAACAGAGATAACAGAGATAGCAAAGATATCAGACATATCAAACATATCAGACATATCAGACATATCAGACATATTAGATATATTAGACTTAGCGCATTAATCTATCATAACACAGTTATC